CCTCTAAATCTTGAGCTTTGCTTTAAGATACAGTTACTCATAAACAGTTTAATCTTTTCTGATTTTGCCTTAATGATTTGGCAGGTGGGTTGAGAGTAGTGTTCAGTCCAGGGCTAATTATTCCCCATCACAAGGGAAGAAACTTTCTGAGTACCCAGTGAATGTCCTGTGAGTTTCGTGGGTTTTTCTAGTCTCGCTAGTAGAATCAAACATTATTCCATTTCCAATGTGAACACAGGCACCATTTTCTCAAAAATTTTCAAATATTTTTGTTTTCTAGTAGTTTCTTCATATTCATGCACTGTTTATTACTCTGGTCAATACCCAAGGGGGCCCCTCTACATATCTCTGCCTACATTGGTGGTCTCTGCTCTCTGGTGTTCTAACCTTTGACCTCTATATACACAGCTTCAGGACCTCAACACAAGGAGTCTGCTGGACCTTCTGTTTCTTCTGCCTATGTCATGTCCTGGCAACTGTCTCAAGACTGTGAGATGGATATTTTTAAAAATTTCTTGGTCTGTTTTGTGTCTTTCAGAGTTGATTGTCATTTATTGTCTGAAGTCCAGTGTCTTAAAATCATCATTTAATGTCTTGTGTCTGTTATATTTTTGGTCATTTCAGGTGGGAAGGTGAATCAGTACCTGCTAATACATCTTGGCTGGAAGTGGATTTCCACAGAGCTTCAGCACATGCTGTGTAGAAAATCTAGAATGTTCTTCCTCCCCTTTTGCTTAACTGCTTCCTGCTGAACCCTCAGTTTTCATTGTAGGCATCTGTTGCTCAGGGAAATCTTCCTTGGACTGATTCTGTAGTGATTAAGTTTGTGTGTCAACGTGGCTAAGTCTGGTTGAGTGGCTGGGCAGCTGGATGTAGTATTCCCCATGATGAGACTGGTAATGTCCTCCATGGTGGAATCTATGGTGACCAGCTGAGTAGCTGCCTCTAGGTATGTGGTCTGCTTCCCATGTGTAAGGAATAGCTTTGGGAATGGTCTCTAGCTTATGGCATGCTTTGACCCTGCATGTAGCCATGTTGTTGTCAGCAGCCTGCCATCTTTTCCAACCTTGTGACTTTCCATGAGTTAATGGCCTGCCGTGTTGTTTGTTAACATTGGCACTGTGCCTTTTTACTGGTAAACCTTTGGCTTGTCAGTCTCAGCAGCCAGCAGCTAGCTGTCTGAGTGAAGAAAAGCCTGTGGCTCCAGTGGGCTGAGAGCAGCAGGCAAAGCTGAAGCCCAAGTTTGAGGGGCTTTAACCCAGCCCCTAGAGCCTGGCACTTTGCACTTGGACTTAAAGCCTCCAAACTGTAAGAGAATAAACTCCTGTTTGTTCAAGCCATCCCATTTGTGGTATATTCTTATCAGAGTGGTACTAGGTAACCAGAACAAATTCTAAATCAAGTTTTGTTATGGGATCCTAGAACTCTGTTCTCTAAGAGTATCTGAATAACAGTTACCTCTTTACTTGTCTCCATCCTGTAGTAGATTTTAAGCTAAACAATAACAGGAATTTTGTCTTTTTGGTCTGCAGAGCTTAGTATAATGTCTTCCACATTAGATATTCAGTATATATTTGTTCAATGTATGAACAATTGTTCAATATATGAGTGTAAAATGAATGGGACTTTGTACACAAAAGGGCTCATATATATTAATTATGTTTTCATTTTTTCATTGATGCAGATTCTGTTAGTCTATTGAAAATGAAGGATACTATTCTCTTATGTGAAAGATTAATAAAACTAAAAACAAATCACTGTGAACGACTTATAAGAAAAAATAAAGAAACAGAAAATGAGGTTAGTCGACTACAACAGGAGCTATCAGAAACAAAAGAAATGAAATCACAGTTAGAGCATCAAAAGGTGGAATGGCAACAAGAACTCTGCAGTTTGAGGTAAAATCTTGGTTTTACAGAAATGTTTGAATGACTTACTTTTACCCTAAAGATATGTGGGAGAAATTTAGTCATTGCTAACTTAGCCCCTGGGATTTTACTGGGGAGAAAAATCCTCAGTCCTTAGGGATTATGAAATTCCTGAAATAATACACCAAGTCCCAAATGGTGAATACTTCTACTATTAATTAAACATAAATTCTTATAAATCATAATTTCAGTGGTTGTATGAAAGTCCACTATGTGTAAATCTCATTATTTATTGAACAAATTGAATTTTGGGTTGTTTTTCATTTTTCTGTACTATTATTATTCCTGTTACAACTCTCAACTGTCAATTTGTTGTATTGTGGTGGCTTGCATGTTGCTGTGATGTTGGGGGCTATGCCACCAGTATTTCAAATACCATCAGGTCATGCCATGGTGGACAGGCTTCAGTGGAGATTCCAGGCCAAGATAGCTCAGGAGAAGGAAGGGTCCATCCATTTCTGAAAGAATTGACCAGTGGAAACCTGATGAATAGCAGTGAAACACTGTCTGATATATTACTGGAAAACTTTATGAACAGCCCTGAAACACTACCAGATCTAGTGCCAGAAGATGAAGCCCTCAGGTTGGCAGGCACTCAGAATACGATTGGGGAAGAGCTTGTCTCCTCAGAGTAGCGCTGACCTTAATGATGTGGGTGGAGTAAAGCATTCAGGACCTCCATATGCTCATGTGGCATGATCCAAAATGGGAATAAATAGTTGCAAACATCCATTAATAATCAGAACATTGAATGTATGAAGGAAAAATGTAGGAAAATGGGGAGTTGTCAAAAATGAAATGGAACATATCAAGATTGATATCTTCAGCATTAGTGAGCTGAAATGAACTGGTTTTTGCCATTTAAAATCAGATAACCAAATGATCCTCTCTGTTGGGAATGAAAAATTGAAGAGGAATGGTGTGGCATTCATCATCACAAAGAATGTTTCAAGATCTATCCTGCAGTACAATGCAGTTAATGATAGGATAATATCCAAATGCCTACTAGGAAGGCCAGTAAATACTATTATTATTCAAAGTTACACACCAACCACCAAAGCCAAAGATGAGAAAAATGAAGATTTTAATAACTTTTTAAGTCTGAAATTGACCAAACATGCAATCACGATGTATTGATTATCACTGATGGTTGGAATGCAAATGTTGGAAACAAGGAAGAATCACCAGAAGTTGGAAAATATGGCCTTGGTGATAGAAACAGCACTGGAGATTGCATGATAGAATTTTGAAAGACCAATTAACTATTTATTGCAAATACATTTTTGAACAACACAAATGATGGCTATACAGGTGGGCTTCACCAGATGGAGTACACAGGAGTCATATCCACTACATCTGTGGCAAGAGGTGATGAAGAAGCTCATTATCTTCAGCCAAATAAAGGCCAGGAGCTGATTGTGGAACAGACCATCAACTGCTCATATGCAAGTTCAAGTTTAAGGTGAAGAAATTAAAACAAGTCCATGTGTGCCAAATAGGACATTGATAATATCCTTTCTGAATTGAGAGACCATCTAAAGAATAGATTCAATGTATTAAACAACAATGACCAGGAGAATTGTGGGATGATGATAAGAAGAACATCATCCATGAAGAAATCAAAAGGTCATTAAGAAGACAAGAATGGAAGAAAAGACCAAAATGGATGTCAGAAAAGACTCTGAAACTTGTCCTTGGGTGGAGAGTAGCTAAATCAAATGGAAGAAATGACAAGATAAAAGAGTTGAATAGAAGATTTAAAAGAGCAGCTGAAACAGACAAAGCCAATTACTATAGTGAAAGGTGCAAAGACCTAGAGTAAGAAAACCAAAAGGGAAGAACAAGCTTGGCATTTCTCAAGCTGAAGAACTGAAGAAAAATTTCAAGCCTCGAATTGCAATATTGAAGGATTCTATGGGCAATATATTGAATGATGTTGGAACCATCAAGAGAAGATGGAAGGAGTACACAGAGTCATTGTACAAAAATGAATATTTGATGTTTGTCCATTTCAGGAGATGGCATATGATCAAGAACCAATAGTAATGAAGGAAGAAGTTGAAGCTGCACTGAAGGAACTGGCAAAGAAGAAACCTCCAGGAATTGACAGAATACACACTGAGATGTTTCACCAAATGGATGCCATGCTGGAGGGACTCACTTGTCTAGGACAGAAATTTGAAAGACAGCTAGCTAACTGGCCCACTGACTGAAAGAGATGCATATATGTACCCATTCCAAAGAGAGTTCATCCCCCAGAATGTGGAAAATGTTGAAGAATATCATTAATATCACATGCAAGTAAAATGTGCTGAAGATGATTCAAAAATTGTTGTAGCAGTATATCAGCATAGAACTTCCAGAAATACAAGGTGGTTTCAGAAGAGGACGTGGAAAGAGGGATATAATTGCTGATGTGACATGGATTTTGGATCAAAGCAAAGAATACCAGAAAGATGTTTATTTCTGTTTGTTTCATTGACTATGCAAAAGGTTTCAATTGTGTGGGTCATCAGAAATCATGGATAACATTGAGAAGAATAAGAATTCCAGAACACTTGATTGTGTTCATCGGGAACCTGTATATAGACCAGGAGGCTATCATTTGAACAGAACAAGGGGATACTGCATGGTTTCTAATCAGGAAAGGAGTGCGTCAGGGTTGTAACATTTCACCATACTTATTCAATCTATATGCTGAACAAATAATCTGAGAAGCTGGACTATATGAAAAAGAGTGTGGCCTCAGGATTGGAGGAAGACTCATTAACAACCTGTGATACACAGACGACACAACTTTGCTTGCTGAAAGGGAGGATGTCTTGATGCACTTACTGATGAAGATTAAAGAATTCAGTCTGCATGATAGATTAAAAGTCAACATAAAGAAAATGAAAATCCTCACATCTGGACCAATAAGCAGCATCACAATAAATGGAGAAAGGATTGATGTTGCTAAAGATTTCATATTATTGATTCCATAATCAGCAGCAATGTAAGGAGCAGTCAAGACATCAGACAATGTACTGCACTAGGCAAATCTGCTGCAAAAGACCTCTTTCAAGTAATGAAGAGCAAAGTTGTCTCCTTGAAGACTAAGGTATTCCTAACCCAAGCCATGGTCTTTTCAATCACCTTGTATACATGTGGGAAAACAAAACAAAAATCAAACAAACAAACAAACAAACAAAAAAAAACCTCAATGCCTCACTGCTGTCCAGTCGATTTGGATCCATAGAGGCCTGTCCTTGGGTTTCTGAGGCAGTATCTGTACAGAAGAGATACTCCTTCCTTCCGGGGAGTGGCAGGTGAGGAGTTTGAACCATGAGCCTTCTGGTTAGCAGTCAAATGCCTTAGGCACCACCGACCAGAGCTCCCCATATGCATGTGAGAGCTGGACAATGAGTAAGGAAGACAGAAGAAGAGTTGATGTTTTTGCATTGTGGTGTTGGCAGAGAATTGTGAAATTACCATGGACTTTCAAAAGAACAAACAAATTTGTCCTGCATGAAATGCAGCTGGAATGGAAGCGAGAATGGAAAGACTTCATCTTACCTGTTTTGGTCATGTTGTCAGAAGGAGCCATTCCCTGGAGAAGGGATATCATGCTTGGTAAAGTGAAATGTCATTGAAGAAGAAGACCCTCAATAAGATGGAATGACACAGTGGCCTCTATGATGGGCTCAGGTAGAGCAAGGATTGTAATGCTGGCGCAGGACCGGCCAGTGTTTCATTTTGTTGTGCACAGGGTCCCTATGAGTTGGACCTGACTTGAGAGCACCTAAAAACAAGAGCAGCATTATGAGTCCTTTTAGGAGTATCTTTTATGTAAATATATTTTTTTCTACATTTCTGATGACTTACTTGTCAAAAAATTCTTCAATACAGAATTACTTGATTAAAATATAGAAACTTTTAAAAAAGGTCTTTCATCCATAGTTCTAAATTACTTTTCACAAAGTTTATATTAACTTACAATTCCACCAGCAAAATACAAAATGACTATTTTTCTCAAACTAAAATCTTTAAGTACTCAATTTTATTTTTAACATGCGTGTAGAAAGAAAAGTAAAATGGGAAAGGATTACAGATTATTTTATTCAATGTCTTTCTCATACATAAAGTAAACCCTTTGCCTTAGAGTAGATTCTGACTCATAGTGACCCTAAAAGACCCTATTGGACTGCCCCATAGGATTCTATCAAACATAGATAAAGTTAATTCAGAGTTCTGTATTGAAAGCAGGAGCTCTGGTGGCATAGTGCCTAAGGCAATTGACTGGTAAGCAGAAGGCTGGTGGTTCAAACCGACCAGCCACTCCTTGGAAGGAAGTTTGGGCAATCTACTTCCATAGTGCTACTGCCTCTGAAACCCAAGGAGGGGTCTCTACGAATCAGATCCAACTCAATGGCAGTGGGTACGTTGAAAGCACATATTTTTTTCTTTTTCAATTAATTAATATGGATCCTGTCTTGGTCCAAAGGGGATTTAAAGATGATTAGTAAGATAATAACCAACCAGATAGGATAAGTTGAAAATGTGACTAAATAAAAAATATCAAAATGTGGGGTGACAGACATTAGAGCACCTCGCCTGGTGTTGGATTAGATTACCAATATGCAGCTCTATATTGTGTAAAAGGAAACTGAAGGTGCTGTTTTACAATGTCAATCATTTTTAGGTGTATCTCTAATACTTCATTTTTGTGAAATCTTTTAAATTTATTTGTAGTGAATTTATAATATTTAAACAACAATTTCTCCTGCTAATTAGTTCATTCTTAATTATCTACCCAAATGCAGAAGTAATTATACCGATGTGGGAAAAAAGGATAAAGTTAACTCTCATTTTACTGAAAATTTTCAAAATTCCTTTCCAATAATATTTACCAGAGTTACTTGTAAGAAAACTTACCAAATAGCAGTATGTCCTTTCATTATAACCTTGTAAGAATATATTGCTTTTGGACAAGTTTGAAATGAGAAACTAAAACTAGAAGGATTAGGAAGGAAAAAATTAGAAAAACAGAATTTCATAAACTAGATAGACGCTAACATATTCAAAGAGCCAGGGTACAAAATGAAGTTTTTATTTTCTAAGAAATGAATTTTAAGATGAGCATATCTAAATGCAGATTCACTTTGAAAGACGAACAAGAGAGGAGAAGAAGCACTGATGGCTTGTACGAAATGATTAGAGACAAATTGAGAAGAAGAAAAGAGCAATATAAGAAACAACGTGAAGTGAAACAAGAACTTGAGCTGTCTATGAGGACCCTAGAGACAGACTTGAAGACTGTGAAAAATCATTTGCATCAGGTCAGTTAATGTTTGGTAAAAATGTGTTCTGACTTTATTTCATCTGTTGATTTATTTTATATTGTTTAAGATAAACCAAAAGTGTTTCTGCATCCTAAATATGAACTATAATATTATAGCTAAAACAATTAATTTATTGTTCTCAGTGTATGTTTTCTGAATGAAGTGATTAAAGGTCAAGCTAAATTAAATGTAATCATTGACATAAATCCTAATTTTGGCATTTTTATGTTAAAATATATGTCAAATAGCTATGGGCTAAAGAGGCAAGGAAGCCACATGCCACATCTCCTGACCTCCTCTAACCGCCCAAGAGGAAGAGAGAGTCAGCATCATTAGTAGCCCAAGGCCTATTCCTGGGAGGCCAAACATGCTGCCTTCCTCTAGCCCTTTCACCAACCCTGACACCAACCATCCCTCCCGAATCACTAACCACCTTTCTCCTGGATTCAATAATTCACTGAAGTGGGCACACAGAACTCACACATTATGGTGTTTATTAGGGAACACCAGGCTACAATTCAAGTTCAGGAAAAATGCCCAGTCTCTTCCCCAGCCTGCCATCTCTCAGCTGACAGTTTCTCACAGTCTCTCTCCCAGCTGTGTGTGTCCCTAGGTGTGTCTGTCAGCAATGCATGTCTTTTGTGTCTCTTTCCCAGCAGCATGTGTCTCTCAGGAGCGCGTGTCTCTTTCAGCAGCATGTCCTTCTTAGACAGCAGTCAGAGAGACCTCTGCCTCTAGGACGCCTCCTTTGGAGCCCGCCAGAGTGGCCAAACCAAGCAATCATAACAGAATTCTAAGCACCTGAGGCAAGGAACCTCCCAGAACATTACTTTGTGCTGCTCCCAGCAGAAATACGCCAGGTGGCTGATTTTAACAATTAGGAGTTACTCAGTTCCTCACAGTAAATTCCACCATGGAGTTTACAAAGACTTGTGACTAGAAAAGCCATGCCAGGTAATTTACTACAGCGCATTATGAGACTATTATAATACAAACCCACTGACATTGCATTTGTTCCAATTCATAGGGACCCTTTTGGGCTGAGTAGAAATAACTGCCCCATAGGTTACCAAAGGCAGTAATTTTTATACAAGCCAAATTTCTCCCACAGAGGGTCTGGTTAGCAGTCAAATGGTTTAACCATGATGCTGGCCACCAAGAGGAAAAAAGAAAACTCATGACCATCATACTGATTCATAGTGGTATATTGACACCCATTGGTTTTCTTGGGCTGTATATCTTTTTGTTTGTTTAATTTTTAGTATGAATTGGCTGAAAGTTTACAGAGAAATTCATTTTCTGTACAGCAGTTCATACACATTTTGTTTCATGACATTGACTGCAGTCCCCACAATATAACAGGCCTCTTCCCACTTCTGCCCAAAGTTATGTCTTCCTTGTGTCCTTCTTTCCTATCCAATCCTGCTCCCTGTGCTATCTCCATGTGCAAATACTGCCCTGTTTTCTCCCATGATTGGTTATTGCAAAGACCATATCCAACTGATGTAAATATTCACACTATATGCCTGCCTATTGTTTTGCTAGAAGCCAGGAGAGTGAGGTCACTTTCAGGCCTGAGGGGTAACTAGGGGCCATAGTTTCAGGGGTTTAACTAGGCTCTATCAGATGAGTAAGGCTGGTCTATTTTTATCACTTTGAGTTTTGTTCTCCATTGTTCTCCCACTCTGTCCAGGATCTCCTGCACTGATCCATTTCCAAGTGGTTGACAGTGGTAGCCTGGCACCATCTAGTTCTTAAGGTCAAATGATCATATAGGCTGAGGTTCACAAGGCTCACTAGCCCCTTGGACTAATTGTTTCCATGGAACCTTGGTTTTCTTCATTCTTCTTTGCTCTGGACCAGGAGACACCCATCATTGCATCTACATTACTGCTTCCCAGCTTTTAAGACCCCAGTCACTTCTCACCAAATTAAGATCTTGAACAATGATTTTGTGTAGTTTGTTAGACCATATGAGCTTGATCTTGTCTGCGACCACCGTCCTGAGCCCACAGGTCCAACAACTCACTCCATCAAGGTGGTTGATTGTACTTAAAAAATTATCATAACTTTACCGCTGTTAGTTCTGTTATGTGGACATTCTTACAACACAAATGCACACATAGAGATATCATCTGCCAACCTTATATATGGTCTTGGGTATATTCTCTTTTGCCTAGACATACCTGATCATTCAACCTGTCTACCCATATATGTATTTACCTGTATATTAATGTTTCTTATCCCTGATAACGCAGTACTGGGTATGTAAAAGTGTTTCTCTTTATTTTCTGCACCTCTTGTACATCTCTCTGTGTCTTCCTTTTCCTTAGTATCATTGTGTTGGTCACTCACTTTTGGTGTATTGCCTTCTCTTCACCCAAATCAATACTTTTCTCTACTTATCTATCTGTGTTCCCTCCCTTCCCCTCTCCTCCCTTCTCTGGTTTTCAGCCAAGAAAGTTTCCTTCCATATATAAAACTTCCATTGATTTTTTACAACAGTGAACTAACACTATATTTTTCCTTCTGTGGTTAACTTTTTTCACTTAGTGTAATGTCTCCAAGTTCATTAACATTATGCAGCATTTCACAGTTTCAATATACTTATGTGTTGCACAGTATTCCACTGTGTGTATGCACCATGGTTTGGTCATCCATTCTTCTGTTGATGGACACTGAAGTTGTTGCCATCTCTTTACTATTGTGAATAGTGCTGCAATGAACATGGGTGTGTATATACTATTCATGTCCAGCCTTTCTGTTCTTAAGAGATATTCCCAGTAATGGGATTGCTGGATCAAATGGCATTTCCAACTTTTTAAGAAATCTCCACACTGATGCCCACAGTGGTTGTATCATTTTACAGTCTCACCATCAGTGTATGAGAGTCCTAGTCTCTCCACATCCTCATTAGCATTTATTATATTTTGTCTGGTTGCACTGCTATTAGTGCTAGGATGAGATGTTATCTTGTTGTCATTTTGATTTACATCTCTTTAATGTCTAGTTAATGATCATGGACATTTCTTCACGTGTTTGTTGGCCTGCTAAATATCTTCTTTGGTGAAGTATCTGTCCATGTCCTGTGTCCATTTGTTATTTGTGTGGTTTGTCTTTTTGATGTTGAGGAGTTTTCTATACATTTTAGAGGTAAGTCCCTTGTCAGATATGTCATGGCTGAATATTTTTTCCCGATCTCTACATTCTCTTTTTACTCCTTTGAAGATGCCTTTTGAGGTGCATAAAAATTTAAGTTTTAGAAGGTCCCAATCATCTAGTTTATTTTCTCTTGTTTGTGCACTTTGTGTCATGCTTGATAGTCTATTTATGCCATGAAATAGGGCCCCTTTTTTTCCTTGATGGACTTTATTGTTTTAGGTTTCACCTTTAAGTCTTCTATCCACCTGGAGTTAGTTTTCGTGTATGGTGTAAGGTATGGATCTTATTTCATTTTTATGTTAATGGATATGCAGTTTTGCCAGCATCATTTCTGAAAGAGACTGTCTCTTTCCCTTTTATTGGATTCTGGCCCTTTGTCAAAGTTCAGCTGACTGTAGGTCGATGGATCGATTTCTGGGTTCTCAGATCCATTCTCCTGGTCTGTGCGAGTCTGTCATTTTAAAAGTACCAGACAGTTTTGACTATTGTGGCTGTATAGCAGTTTTTGAGATGTGGGACTGTGAGACCTGCTTTGTTCTTTTCACTCAATAGTGCATTGCTTTCCTTTCCATAAAAAAATAGTGATTGGTTGTCCCATATCCTTAAAGAATGTTGACGGGATCTTGATTCAAATTACATTGAATGTATAGATTGCTTTGGGTAGTATTGACATTTTCAAATGTTCAATTTTCCTATCCACAGGCATGGTGTGGTCTTCTATTTATGTATATCTCTTATGGTTTCTTGAAACTGTGTTTCTTAGCTTTCTATGTACAGGTCTTTTGTGTATCTTGTAAGATTTACTCCCAAGTATTTTTTTTTTTTTTTAGTAGCTATTGTAAACGGTATTGATTTCCTTATTTCTTTTTCAATTATTTTTCGTTTGTTTTGCTTTCATGTATCTGACTAAGCAGGACACTGTGTCCAGTATTGGCTAGTTTTCAGCATTTGGGCATTCACTATCTGTTTCCTGGTAGGTATGATAGACAATGAGATTGTGCATGTATCTGTGTTAGCTGTTCATGAATAGCCATTAAGGGTGACATGGGCTGGTACTGGCTGTTGTCTATTGTTGGTCAGATGGTGCAGAAGCTATTGGTGGTTGTCACTCACTATGTGGGGCTTTAGGAAGTGCAGGTATGATTGAGTCATATTGGCAGTGTTACTCTATCCCACTCATTTAGAAAAAAACACAGCAAAAAAAAAACCAAAGAAATTAAGAGGGAGAAAAATAAGCCATGTAAACAAGCAGGAACAATTGTAAAAAATATGTACAGAGCTAAGGCTGTTGGTGTGGAGTGGCTGTATAGATTAGATACTAACTATAAACCCATTTGCAATTAATTTACTTTCAGAAGAATATAGTATTATGTGGAAAATTCCAACAGATTGCATAAAATTCTCTCACTGCCATTGACTCAGATCTGACTCCTAGTGACCCCTCCTTGAGTTTCCGAGGTGGTATCACTATGGAAGTAGATTGCCTAACCTTCCTTATGGAAGTGGCTGGTGGGTTTGAACCATCAGCTTTCTGGTTAGTAGTCAAATGCCTTATGCACTATGCTACCGGAGCTCCTAGAATTTGGTAAAAATGTGTTTTGGATCATAATGATTTCATGTGTTTGAGAGGGTAATATATTTAATAATTTTAATATGTGCACAGTGAAGGCTCTTATTGTAGGACGGCTGTATAACCTAGCAATCAAACTGATTGTCTTAATGTGAAAGGTATTGATTTTTCAAATGTAGTCAAATGTATTAAT